TCTACAACAGTGGGCTCAAACATAGCAACAACCGTGAGGATGGTATAGGACTGGCATTTCTGTGTTCTGTTGTACACAGGGCCTCTAGGTGTGAGAAGCGACTCAGTGACACCTATCAACAAAACAACATCAACACATCCTAAACTAGAGAAATTTTTTAACTGTTTCAAAAACATTATTCAAGAAATGGAAACATGTTGAACAGATTTATGATCCTCCATATCGATGCTGGAGTCATGGTGTGGCACCATAGGATAAGTATTCAACCTCAAGGTCAGTTTGAGCCACAAGGTCAGCAGTTCAAACTTATCAGCTGCTCCTTGGAAACCCTATATAGGATCGCTAAGAATCGGAATCAACGCAACAACACTAACAACAACAATATTGATGCTACCCTGTATATTTGGTTAGGACCTTTATTTTTCGTTTTTATTTGAGAACCTAAAGGTGGTTGTGGTAGAGCCTGGAGTTTCTTCTCAGCAGGACCTTGGACCATGCAATACAGGCTCCTTCCTGAAACCTCAGAACCATCAGATGCCCTACAAATGTCAGACATTTCGGTGGTGCCCCTGGCCTGGGGACAGAGGTAGGAAAAAGATGGCACTAGACACCGCTCTTGTCCTGACTCCCTGACTCAGTGGATCTCACTGCCCCGGTTCAGCCACCTTCCTTACCTGTTGCTATTATCGCCTGTGGCAACTTTTCTATGTCAGAGTAGAACTGTACTCCATGGAGATTTTAAAGGCTGATATTTCAGAGTAGATCACCAGAACTCGAGCCTCCAAGCCTTTAGCGGCTTAATACTTAACTGTGCACCTAGGGACTCTTCCTTACCTGTAAGATGACACTATTCAATCAGGGCAGCAGACTGCCTGACAGTTCCAAACACTTGGCCAGGCATCGTCTCGGTTGACCGCGTAGACAAGCACTGTCTCGGTTGATTGCTTTCTACACCTCTGGGGAAATGAGAGTGATGGACTCGAGCGATGTTTTCCACTCCTATCAGACCCAACTCTGGGTTTTTAAAACATATACTTTTAATATTCCCTTTACTACCCTGAAGTGAAATTTGTAGACCATGTCACCTGCGCAGATTTTGTAGACCAAACACACATGCGCAGGTGTTTTTAAATTTTAATGACATTCAAAGAAAATTTCATATAACATAATACAAAGAACAGTAATGTGTATATGCAGTTCAGTAAGTCAAGAAGATCCCAGTATGCCCTTGGATACGAGTACATCTGAATATGTAATATCTGTATCCTATGCATAAAGAGCCCCAGTTAGCACGGTGGATAAGTGCTCAGCTGCTAACCTGAAGGTTGCAGGTTTGGACTCGCCAGCCTCTTCTTGGGAGAAAGATGGGACAGTCTGCTTCCAAAAAAGAATTCCAACTTTGGTACTCCTATGGGGCAGTTCCTCTGCCCTGTAAGGTTGCTCTGAGTTGGAATGGACCCGCCAGCAACGAGTTTGGTCTTCAGTTTTTTTATCCTCAGAGTAACTATAAACTGACACGTACAAAACAGCAGACCATCCAGGTGTGTGGTCCAGGTTACACCGAAACTACAGCCTGCGCTTTTATTCTGAAACTGTGCGTCACTCTTGGTAAACAAGCAAAACAAAATAGAAACCTCTTTTGATTCGCATAGTAGTTGCATTCCTAGCAAGCTTAGTGCACAGTGCACGTTCAAAGCATGCAAAATAAAAATAGTTTTGTGTGTATTTATATGCAAAAGGGGTACATTTGTGAGCTCAGTTGATGTTAAACAGGTTTTTCACCAACATAAACATCCAGTGGGGTATTTCAGCATTAGACAGGAAGTGGGACAGTTCTTCCTTGTGTGGAACTGTTTTGAATATTAGAGGACACGTAGCATGTCTGCCCTCTGTCCATGCGACCACAGATGCTCCCACAACGCTCCAAACTGCCTCGTCAGGTGAGCTGCCACCTTCAGAGGTGCTAGACTTCATGATAGCACTCAGAAGGAATCTGCAGATCAAAGAGTCTGTCCTGAAGATTGCTGACCCTGGAGACAATAAGACCTTCCATGCAAAGACCAGGATCCCTTGTGGCACAGAAGTTGAAGTACTCAACTGCTAACCAGAAGATCTGTTGTTCAAATCTACCCACAGCTCCTTTGAAAGATGTGGCACTCTGCTTCTGTGAAAACGAATAGTCTTGGGACCCCTGTGGGCAGCTCTACTCTGTCCTATAGGGTCGTGAAGAGTCAGAATGCACTCTATGGCTGTGGGTTTGGATTACGGAGAAGCAGAGGAGCAAACATGAGGGCCTTTCTAACGTGTGAGTGATACAGTGATGACCCGGTCCGATCTGAGGCCGCCCAGCTCTCTGCAGCCTCAGCTCTCACCGGCTTCTCCTCCATGTTCTCTGTGTTCTTCCCACATGAGGTTCAGCTCTACACTGTCCTCACGGCTGTCATCCTCACTGCCTGAAGGCTTTCCCTTCCCCAGCACCTTGCTACTACTGTTTATTTCACAGCATCAGTGATGTGAGGCTGTGAGCTCTGGTAGCAGAGTGGTTACGAGTCAGGCTGCTAACCTCAAGGTCAGCAGTTCGAAACTACTAGCTGTTCCATGGAAGAAAGATGAGGCTTTCTGTATCCACAAAGATTTACAGTCTTGGAAACCCTGTGCAGGGTTCTATGAGTCAGAACTCACTCCAACTTACTCTGAAGTAGTAGCTTATTTCAGAAGGTTGCTTGAATTCAAATCGTAGTTACTTAACCTTCCTGTGCCTCAAGTTCCTTGTGTGTAAAATGGAGATGTAATAGTGATAGCTCTTAGAGTAATTATAATAACTTCAAAGTTGTTGGTGTTAAGTACCATCCAGTCAGTTCCGATTCATAGCAACCCTATATGAGGTTTCTAAGGAGTGGCTATTGAATTTGAGCCGCTGACCTTGCAGTGAGAAGTGCATTGCTTATCCTGCAGCGCCACACCAAGACTCCAGGCTGCTAGAAGGCTGTAAATAACACATACGAAGCATTCAACAGAATAAAGTGCAAGTCGCACTTTCTCAAGGATCTCATCCATCCCTGACCTCAATAACCACATCTGATCCCCCTATTAGCTGCCCTTGTCAATTTCTACTTTATTTGTTACGATTGGAGCTTGATATGTTTCGCCCAAGTCATTGCTTCTAATCTATAGCTTTGTGAGGACAGAGTTCACTGTTGTTTATTACCTGAAAGAGACCATGGTGTATCATGGGAGGCATCTGAGAATGGGAGGTGTATCAATGGATGAATGGATGGATACATTCTTAAAAGCAGTTGTTGGTGAAAGATCCCCCTCCACATGTCTCCTTGCCTCTGAACTATCCACTTCTTATCTTGCTTGCTTTTTCTTTTTTATGTCTTAGCCCTAACCAATGGCAATCAGAGGCAGGATCTACTGGTACAAAAAACGAGCCGAAGAGGTTTCTTCCAACAACTGTATGCTGAGCTTGGTGCTCTTGCTACTGCTGTCTTTGTTAGGTGGCATCAAGTTAGTTTTTGATTCACAGTGACCCAGTGTGGCAGAATAGAACTGCCCCCGTTGGGTTTTCTAGCGTAGCGTAGTGGTAGCGTAGTGGTTACGAATCGGGCTGCGAACCACAAGGTCAGCAGTTCGAAACTACCAGCTGTTCCGCGGAAGAAAGATGAGGCTTTCTACTCCTGTAAAGATTCACAGCCTCGGAAACCCTGTACAGGGTCGCTATGGGTCGGAACTGACTCGACGGCACATAAAACAACAACAACCATCTTTATGGAAACGGATCTCCTGGTCTTTCTCCTGTGGAGCAGCTGGGTGGGCTCCCACAGGGCAACTGAGATTTTGTTAGTTTGGTGTGTTTTTTATTGCTTGAGGGCTTTCCTTCTATATCATGATTTAAGGTGGCATTGGTGCCCTCTTGTGTACGTAACAGGCAGTGATGAAACTGTCCTATTCAGCACATTTACCTGACTTGTTCAAACATGTTAATATATATCAGACTCTTCTTGTGCTTCCATCAGGATGACTGAAATCTTTGCTGAATAAGACATTCTTTTTCAGAAACAGCCATTTAAAGTGTAAAAAACTTGCATTTATAGCATGAATTATGTTTCTTTAAGTATTTGGGCTAAATGTTACATTGGATTAGTTTTGTTGTTGTCAGGTGCCATCGAGTCAGAACCGACTCATAGCGACCCCATGCACAGCAGAACAAAACAATGTCTGATCCTGGGCCAACCTCACTAATGCTGCCACACTTGATGCCATCAATGATGCCACCTGGCCAATCCATCTCGTTAGAGGTCTTCCTCTTTTTCTCTGACCCTCCACCTTACCCAGCATGACATCCTTCTCCAGCGACTGTTTCCTCCGGAAAATATGTCCAAAGTAGGAGAGACGAAGCTTAGCCATCCTGGCCTCCAAGGAGCACTCTGGATTGTTAATCCCCATTCCAGAACACATACACACCCCACTGAATCTTTATAAAGACCAAGCAACCTGTGAAAGTCAAGACAACTCAGCTTGGCCTGCAGAACAGCTGGTGATATGAAACCATTGTCCTTTAGGTTGCAGCCAAGAGTGTAACTTCTGTCTCCACCAGACTCCATAAAGGATCAAGCAACAAAGCCTAAATAGAAAAACCAAAGCTTCAACCAGAGATGGTGCTTTAAAAAGGATCTTTGTGACCTCACAAGAGCATCAAGTATCACTTATTTCGATGAATACAGTTTTCTGAAATGTGGGGCTTATCAAGAATTAGCCATAAAATAATTTCTTCATCAGACGTTTAGGAGCCCTGACCAAGAGGATCGTTTCTAATTCCTTTTTTTTTCTCATTTTGTTTTGTTTTTTAGCAGGGGAAAAAAATGAAACTATAAAATGTGTTTTCTGTTGTGCTTTGGTTTTTGTTGGTTTTGTTTTTTTTTTTAATCAGGTGCCCTTTGCCCTCAAATTGGCTGTCAGTCCTGAGAAGTCTCCCTTCTATCTTTTTGACTTCACAGGTATGATCGACAATCTCCTCTCCCCAGACCTCATCACAGGCGAGCTCACCAGGCTGGTCCTCGCCAATGCCGTGTATTTTAAGGGTTTGTGGAAATCACGGTTCCAACCTGAGAACACAAAGAAACGGACCTTTGTGGCCGCCGATGGGAAGTCCTATCAGGTTCCGATGCTGGCCCAGCTCTCCGTGTTCCGGTGTGGTAAGTCTGCACTGGACTTTAACTTAGCCCAGGAGGAAAGCTGAGTACTGGACAGTGAGGAAGGCAAAGTGGGATTTAAAAAAAAAAACGTTCACAGTATACAAAGCTTATATGTTAATATTAATCTGTATCAACTTTTAGGTAGAAATTTTGAAGATGAAAAGAACAGTTCACAAAATATAGAATATAAATTAGCATTAAACCTGAGACAGCATTTTCAACTCATCATTAACAGTAGGGTAAGCACTGGACTACAAATCATAGTCAACAGTTCAAACTCATCAACTGTTCCTCCGAAACCCATATAGAGTTGTTATAAGTCATAAGGGACTTGATGGCACTTAACAACAACAAATTAAAAATATAATTGAAATTATTTTTCTTTTTCACATATCAAGATAAAGAAAATTTACAAAAACTGAAAGATTGATAGAGCCCAGTGGTGGCTTTTGTGTTGGGGGACATGAACGGAACGCCCTTAAGACCTGCTGGTGACTGGAAGCTTTGCTCCTTCCTATAGGCTGCCTCAAGGATTAGCAAGTTAAATAGAAAGTCCTAGTGGTGAAATGTCTAAGCACTCAGCTGCTAACCAAAGGGTTGGCTGTTTGAACTCACTAAGAAGCTCTGCAAGAGGAAAACTTGGAGGTGTGTTCCTGTAAAGATTGATATTGTTGTTGTTGTTAAGTGCCATCGAATTGGTTCAACCCATACTGACTCTGTACAGGGTTTCCCAGGAGCGACTGGTGAGCTTGAACTGCCAACCTTGTGGTTCAAATCAACTTTGCAGCCCAGCACATTAACCCATGATAGAAAACCCTGTAAGGAGCTCTGGTAGCGTTAGTGGTTACAAATCAGGCTGCTAACCTCAGGGTCAGCCGTTCAAAACTACCAACTGTTCACAGGAGAAAGATGAGGCTTTCTGCTCAGGTAAAGATTTACAGCCTCGGAAACCCTGTACAGGGTCTCTATGAGTCAGAACTGACTCCAC